AAACCTGCAATCACCAGAAGCCCATTAGAAATTTAGATTTTCATCCTGAATATCAATGAGAAACCTCACCTCAAGGGCATCTGGATCTTAGACATTCACTAATGACAATATAAAGTCATGATCAGCAAGACATTAACAATACTGCTTATTTCACCTTTATTTAATAGATTAATATACATTTTATAATTTATATAATGGTAGAAAAGCACACAGGTATAATTTAAAAATGAATGTACATGCACTGGAGGTGCAGGCACAGAACTGTTTAAGTTGCTGGGTTGTGTGATCAAAGTCTCGGCCACATCCCTGGTCTAGAGCACCCACCAGGTCAGGACGGGTGACGGCTGCAATGCTCAGCCTGGGCAACAGTCAGCGCTGGTACACGGTGCAGTCACCTGCCACATAAGCTCCGTGGCTAGGAAACTATTATGCCACCACTGTGCTGGTATGCCAACAGGGCTGGGCACTGCCAACCAGCTGCCTACTGGCATGAGGTGCTGTCTACTTGTTATGGGTTGAACTGTGCCCCCCACAAATCCCTATGTTAAAGTCCTAACCCCCAGGACCTCAGGATGTGACCTTACTTGGAAAGAGGGTTGTTGAAGATGCAATCAGTAGAGATGAGATCACAATGGAGTAGGGTGGGTCCCTAATCCTGTATGACTGGGGTCCTGATAAGATGGGGAAATTTGGACACAGACACACACAGGGAGGAGCCATGGGAAGGTTAGTTAGGCAACCACCAGCGGAGGAGCTACCAGAAGCCAGGGGAGCACAGGTCCTTCCCTAGAGCTTCTGAGGGAGCGCCACCCCACTGTCACACTGGTCTTGGACTTCTGGCCTTCAAACTGAGAGACACTTTCTGTTCTTTAAACCACCCTGGCTGCAGTTCTTTGTTCTGGCAGTTAGAGGAATCTGCTCCACTGCTTCTACAGTGGAGGGAGCAAGCCTGGCAGGAAGTCCTGCTCACTACAACCCTGGGAAACAAGACAGGGCTCCTCTAAGTCTCTGCACAGCCATGGAGGAGGAGGTCTGCCCTCGGCACGGACTGTAGGCTCAGAAGCAGACACACTCTCACCTTCCCTCGGCAGCCACTGGCAGATGCCATCTGCACCACCAGCTGACCCGGCTGCCTTGTAGGGATGGGGGATCTGCCCCAGCTCTGGCAACTTTCTGCTGCCTAGGTGCCACTGGCCTATGGGTTCCTTTTACCACTCCCTGCTGGTACTCGAGCTGTGGTATTTCACTCATGCCCCAAGTTGCCTACAGGGTATGCCATGGGATCTATGAGTCTCAGGGAGGCAAGGCTGATAGCGGGAGCTGCCGAACACCTCTGACAGTGAGAAATGTGGTTCTTGCTATCCACCATATATTTACTTATTTGTTTAATCCTAGTATATACATAAAGCAATTTCAGAATTGTTGAGCCATACCCTGTAAGAAACACATTTAGTAATGGGATATAGCATTTATGTAGTTTTGGTGCCTTTTGTCTTCCGCCTTATAGAACCCAGTCAAAATACTGTTTTCCAAAGTTACTTAGGTGAGGTCTTTTCTTTCCCACTCCTTTCAAGGGGCTGCATTACAATGGGGCTCATCTGTTACAGTCTGCATTCATCTTGGATCTCTCCCACCTGCGGGGTGATTTGAATTTGAACCGCAGCTTGTTTTTCTATGGGACCCAGTAAGGAGGTCCTAAGTCAGAGCCCAAGGAAGAGCCAGGCTCAGGGCAGGGCTGCTCCCTCTGTGTCCTTATCACCCCCCTCCCTGCTCCCTTCCTTCCACCCCCTTCCCACCCTATCCCAGTCCACACCAAACCTTCCATTTCTGGTTTATTCTTCCTCTCACCTATCCTTTCTAATATCTAGTACTGAACCTGGTTCATGGTAGGAACGCAATACATGCTCAGCATGGAACTGTTTTCTTTAGTGAATCCTATGGACTTCTGAAGTCCACTCTGTGTCTGCAATTTCTCCTTTACATAGTGAGACAGGGCACGTCATCTCAATACACTCAACAAAAGTCTTTAAGGAAAACCACTGGTTCCCTTAACTGGGTCAGTTCTGAGACAGAATCTAGCAGCCAGTCAGGAAAGTAATAGCTAATAATGAAGCCCATTCCTCTTCTTGGATATGAAGAGCCACAGGTAACTAGAATTCAGCTTGACAGTTGTTCTTGGGCAACATTTTCAAATTTCTGCTACTGCTGCCCCCCCACGCCCCTTTAAAATAAAGCATCTCAAGTAACTTGGCAGCACAGGAAATCATTTGATACAAAACTAAAGGGAGTAAGAGCAGCATTAATATTTGCAAGAAAAACAATTACAACTAAAAGTTGTGTTTTGGGGGGGTTTGCTCAAATAACCTTTTTAATGCTCCAGTTGTCCATTTTTTTCTGTAATCAGTATTTGGTTTTCAGATTAATGAGGCAGGAGCCACCAAGTAAATGAAAGTCAGTTTTAAAAATCTGGGAAGGAAAGCAAAGAGCTTTGCAAACGTGTATCTAAGGAGGAAAATGACATCTGAGACTATGCACTTATTTTCATACCCAGAGAACACTTGGATCAAAACATGTAAAAACATAAAACTTTAGGATTAGGGTAATGCTGATGTTGAAGTCACACGTCGTGACATTTCCAAGACAATAATTAAATGCTGATCAAATTCTGCAAATAAATAGGCCTTTCCATATGTGAAATAAAACCATCCTAGTCCCCTGAAACCTTGGTGAACCCTGATAATTAGACCAGCCACTGATGATGAGGCTGCGTAGGTAGGATTATGGGCTTGAGGAATATGGAAACGGTTATGAGCAACCCAAGAATCAGTAAGTTTATTTTAAAAACTTATTTTATTAGCAAGTCTAGTAGTACATTAAATTAATATAATGAATGTGTTAGCTATAAATCATTACTGGCTAGGTATTGCTGACTGGCTATGTATCATTGGGCTGGATAACATCCCTAAACCTTGGTTTATTCATCTCTAAAATGGGCAGAGTAATACCAGCTTACAGGTGATGTGAGTTTTAAACCTGATATGAAGCACTTAGTAGATGCCCAGCACAAAACATACGCTCAACTGTTAAGCACAGCCTAGTGCTAAGAGTGGGGATTTGGGCCCAGTTGCCAGTGCTGGAGGCTGGCCTGCCACTCGTTCACTGTGTGGCCTTGGAAAAGTCACCTCACTTCTCTGAGCTGCTGAAGGGGAAGTAGTGATCCGGAATGGGGATAATAATCAATAACCAACTACAAAACAGGGGTGACAGTAACTAGAGTAGTCATGAGGATCCCAGAGTCAAATGGACAGAGCACTTAGAACAGGGCCAGGCTCCTCATATTCCAGAGTATCAGCGATGGCGGTGCACTGTGATCACTTCACCAGCCTGCCAGGACAGGGTGGTGGGAGTCAACTACGACGAGCACCAGGCCTGGCGCAGGGGTTTAGGAGCTGTGCTGGCAACATATGTCAGGAGCTTCAGAGTCCGCAGAGGCTTACCCCATTTGTCAAAGGTGGGACAAGTGGTTTAACCCACAGCAGTGAAGAGCGAACCAAAGCCAGGAGGACAAGAACTACACACACTGAAGGAATACATTACAGCAATTTGGCTGCAGGCAACAAAAAACCCTTGCTCATGTGTTATGCAAACCCCACCCTATAGTCAGCCTGCTTCAAATACCTGGTTCCACAGAGAAGAATCCTTTACAGTGAGTAAGATGCTAAAATCTAGTGTTGTGGTGCTCGCTCTTCCTCCTACAATCATCCATTTTCTGGCATATTTATTTTGATTGTGCATCTTGGATAAACACTACCTTTCACCTCATGAAAAAAAAAATCAAAAGAAAACAAATGGCTGTTCTGTCCTTATTTCTAAACATGCTAATAAATTATCATCTCTTATTGTATTGACACCATGTTACACAGGGAAACAGACATTTGTGCCTTACTCCACTTAAACTCATGCAGAAAGGCATGTTTCATTAATTTTCTGGGATTTTTTTCCAGGCAAGGCTTTCTCTCTCAGTCTCTTTTATCCTTCTCAAGCAAACAACTGGATAGGGCATCCCAGGTTTCCTAGTGGAGGAAATGACCACAGGCCCACATACTCTTGTCCTCAATTCCTGGGCTTAAATTCCTGCTCCATTAGCTTATGAGGCACACGACTAAGGCAGATTTATAGCCTCTGGGATTTCAGTTTCCCATGTGTAAAGTGGAGAGATTACCACCCACTATTCAGGATGACTGGGCTGACATGAAATATTGTACCTGGTCCAAAGAAATATAGCTTAACTGCTTTCCACACCCTTCCCACACTTTCTTTCCTCCTCTGGGGACAAGCTGTATGGCAGAAGGCTTGGTGTTCACTTTCTTCTATGTGGACAAGCTGACAGGTATGTGCATTTGTGGGGCATATTTGTTTACTACAAGGTGGAAGGAAATGGATATGTGTCAAGGTCCTTGAGCCAAGCTTAACATCAAAACCTCCAAGGGAAACAGTTAATAGACAGGGGGACAGCAGGGAATCATGCTATCTGGGACTTGGGGGCAGGGAGGAGAGGTGTCATTTAAGGACACCTGAGCAATTATAAGGATGTGGCCTTGCTAATTCTAGATTTAACTAAAGAATCTGGAGGATCCAGATGCTAATGGACATTTAACAAATCACTAGCACTCTATCACAGCTATAGAGAATGCCAGGCCCACTGCAGAGGTTTGGGCAAAGGGCATTTGCCAAAGTCTCAAGTTTGTGTTCAATACTGCAGTGAAGTTGAGGGCCATTGCCCAGATTGATAGCATATGCTCAGATGTCGTCAGGAAAGAGAACGCAGTCTAGATGGGCTATTTTTTTTGTGTTTGGGAACAGAACCCCCACCTCACTGATTAGGAGGGGAAAAATACACAGCCCCGGAGTTATCAGAAGCAGCAAAGAGAGCAAACGTTAATGTGTAACAGTAATGGTTACTCGTGAAATGCACTCCAGAGTGACCAGAATGCACTCACCTGGGGCTTTCCCATTCCTGGTCGTCCTTGTCCTTCTCTTCTTTGGCATCTCCAGAATGCGGGTGTTTCTGCACAATTCGCATCCCACCAGCTTTCACTAAAATGAGAACAGAGGAGGGGTATGATCAACACGGAAGCAGGACCACCCGAGGACCAGCAGCACTAGCTTCAAAGTGTTTGGTTGCCTCACAAGTTAGTCCAGATAAGCTGGCAGTGACAATTAACTACAGAAGATTAGGCTGTTCAGGGGAGATTCAAAATGACACAGCACTCAGGGCTATCTTTTTTTTCAGATCCACTTAGAAACTTTCCAAAGCTCCTGTTTACTTGTTTGGTCTCTTTGGAAGTATTTCCTACAAGCAGTGGAGTAACCAGAGCATAAACCATGTGGAGAAAGTGGCTGCTTGCTTTAGGTTCTCACATCTTGATGCAACAAGGTCCTACATAATCCCTGCCCAGTGGTATTTTCTCAAATACTGCTGATACTATGGATTGGGTGAAACAGCCACAGTGACATGGGATAGCAGCTATGCCACAGTCAGAGCCCACTCAAGTGGCAGCCCAGGCTTCTGTGGCAGCCTTTTCCAAACTGCGCTGTGAAACCTTAGAGTTGGCAGATGCTAATTCAGTTTTCAAAACAACCTTATTGAATATACTTCACACACAATACAATTCTCCCATGCAGAGTGCACCACAAACAGAAACCCCCTACCCATTAGTGGTCACACCCAGATCTATCCCTCCTTTCCTCCAGCTCGTAGCAACCAGTCACCTACATCTCCCTATCCTGGACAGTGGACATAAATGGAACCACAAATATGTGGCCTTGGTATCTGGCTTCTTTCACTTTGCATAGTGTTTTCAAGGTTTATCCACATGTGCATTTCATTTCTTTTTATGGAGGAATAATATTCCATTATATGGACGGACCACCTTTTATTTATCCATTCATATGCTGATGGACATTTGGGTTATTTCCACTTTTTGCCTATTATGAATAATGCAGCTATAAACAACTTGTGTACAAGTTTTTGTGTGGACACATAGATATATACCTTCATTTTCTTGGTATACACCTAGTAATAGAATAGTGGGTAACCTAAAAACCATCTATTTACCCTTTTGAGGAACTGCCAATTGCTTTTCCGAAGCTGCAGCATCATCTTACGTTCTGACCAGTCTGAGGGTCCCAATTTCTCCCCATGCTCACCATCACTTTCTGTCTATCTTTTTAATTATAGCCATTCTTGTGGGTATGAAGTGCTATCTTATTGCAGTTTGATCTGTATTTCCTTAATGGCAAATATACTGATACTGCTTTACAAGGAAAAAAACCCCCCAAACAAACAAGAAGATTAAGATCTATTAAGTGTGCAAAATGCTAGGCTAAACAAATTCAATGGGTTTCCTCAGGACAGATTTTCTCAGCTTTTAGTGTGTGCTGTAAGCTTTATAAGGGCCCCAGAGCATGTCATCTTTCCCAAATGTATTCTACCACANTTTAGTGTGTGCTGTAAGCTTTATAAGGGCCCCAGAGCATGTCATCTTTCCCAAATGTATTCTACCACAAAACACCCACCCCTACCCCAGGAATGTGGGTTATCCTTTAGGACTATAGTGTTCCACAGAATAGTCTAGAAATGCTGGCCCTATATCCAAAAAGCTAGCCTCACATGGTCACCAGCATGTGCTCTGGGGCCAGCAGGCTCCTCCATGCCCTCAGCTATGTGGTCACAGACTAGTTAGGCCCTCAAAGCCTGGCTGCAGGCTTCATCTGCAGGAAGGGGGTGAGACCTGAGTCCTAAGGTGAAGTTTAAGTAAGAGAGGCGGCTGAAACCTAACCCCCATGTGATAGCATTAGGAGATGAGGCTTTGGGGAGGTGATTAGGTCACAGGGTGGAGCCCTCAGGAATGGGATCAGTGTCCTGATGGAGAGCCTGGAGAGAGCCCTTATTCCTTCCACCATCGGAGGACACTGAAAAGACAGCCATCTGTGAGCCAGGAAGCAGGACTCACCAGACACGGAACTGCTGGATCTCAGACGTCCAGCCCCCAGAACAGTGAGCAGCTCAGTTCTGCTGTCCCAAGCTGCAGCCTGTGGTGGGGCTAGAACAGCTGGACAGGGCTGAGACAGCTCCTGGTGGCCTCCTGGTGCAGGTGAGTATGTGCTAGGAGGCAGAGAGTGTTCACTGTACTCACTGCCCTGGCTCTGGGTGGGGGGTGCACCGCACCTCCTCCTCCTCCTCAGGATGGCTACACCTGGGTGCTGTCACAGCGCCGAGCACACCACCCAGTCAACTTGTCAGGCCTCATCCTCTGGCATTACAAATTTGGTTGGACCTGGCTGAATTATGAAAGTCCAGGACAAGATTTTTGTGTTTTGTTTTAATGATAGTGAAGAACAGGAAGGGGAATACGAAAAACACCCTCAGACTTAACACACTTGGTGTTAATTAATTTCCAACTTCCCTGGCAGAGTTTTGTGAGCCCTCTGACTTCAGGAAGCTGGCAAGGCCTGCTTCATGGCCTGCAGAACTCAGCAGCAGTCTCCCAGGAAAGGAGAAGCAGAGGGCAGGTAAAATAAGGGACTGTGCTAATGGTGTGTGTGTCTGCTGGTCTGGGCTCAGAACTAGAATCCACCGGCTGCAATCAGCACCTCCTTTCAGTGGGGACTGGACATTCCCCCTTTGGAAAGGAGGAGAGAGAATCCTGCTCAGTAATTATCTCAAAAGTCTATTTTTCACCCCATCTCCAGATTTTTATTCCCGTCATTTTATTTTTCATTTCTAGAACCTTTCCCCTCCCTCAAATTCATCTGATCTTTACCTGATAGGGTCTTATTCAGTTCTCAGGTTTCTAATTCTTTTATATATTTAATCATTGTAGGCACACTTGTCTCACAGTTGTACATCCAGTTATCTTATGATCTCAAGTTCCTAGAAGTCGAGCCCCACTGTTTTCATCTGCTGATTCTTCCTCTTGAACCGCGTGACTGCAGATTATGAGGGTTTGTCTTCACTGAGGATTTGTCTGTGGGGATCATTTGGGGCCTGTGGTGCAGGCAGCCTCCCTTTGACATACTTCTGCAAATGAGTACAGGCACCCAGAAATCCTTTTCACATCAGATTTCTCACAACAGGAATTGTCAAAGTGCAAATCTGAACTCATAGCCCATGTGCAGGCAGGCCTGCATTTATAAATTCTCAAGGAGACTTTCTTCTCCATCTGGAATCCAGGCTGAAGCAGGGTAGTCACCATCCCACTGTGTTGCTGGGCACATTTATTTATTTCACTGTTGCCCCAAGGGTTTGACCTCTGAGCACCCAGCTTTACGCTGGGATCTTGGGCTAAACAAGGGCTTCGGGGTGGGCCCTAATCCCATCCGATGGAAGAAGAGGAAGAGATACCAGCTCACTCCCTGCCTCCAGTGGGCCCAGCCTCATGCTAACTGTTTTGAATTTCAGTTTCTTCTCTGGGTGTGGTTCCTAGGGGTTTCCCTTGCTTTGCACTTAGATTTTAAAAAATGAAAACAAAAACCCATTTGCAGGTGGCTTATCAAGAT